AAAGTGACATGCACTGCCAATACCAGCTCCAGATCGGTCCTGGCCACGGCCTCGTGTGCAGTAAGATCGGCCATACCCCCGCTCGTTGCTTTCGTTGCCTAGACGACCTGTTTCGTCTTCGCTTCGGCCCATCGCCTAACCTCCCTGACTGGCACAGTCTGCTCCATCGTCGTGTTCAGATCTTTGATATGGGCATGGATGAGATTAGCTCTGCTTTGTATGCGCTGTATATTGATTACTCTAGTGTGACTGGTTCCTATTACCTTGTGTTGCCTAGTGTAGGTGTGCCTAGTGTGCCTAGTTCAGCCTCCCCTGCTGCGTCAGGTGTAGGATCCTCTGCCGTATTTAGCCTAGGGTCCTCCCTCGTTCCTCCAACCTCTGTCGCCGCTGCCGCGCTCTCCTTCACCCGGGACTCCGGCGCTTCCCGGTGCTTCTTTTGCGACTCCACGACGCTTACGCAGCTTCCCGATCCTGCTGCAGTTACTCTTGCACTCCCTTCCTCCAATCCTGTAGTTGCCCGTAGCTCCACTACTCTCCCATGTCCGACGGTTCCCCCAGGCTCTCTTACAGGCCTGCACATCCCCTCGTTCTTTAGGAACCTAGTTGGTGTCGGCTGTCTCCAGGACCTTGGCCTCACCACTACGTTCCAAGGGCACGAGCGGTATGCTGTCTGTACTGAGGCCGCCACTGGTGCCCCCCTTACCACGTTCCCCCGGGACCCGGTATCCGGCCTGTTCACGCTGTACACCGCTTCCCCCCTGGTTGGGATGCCTCCCCAAGTACCTGCGTCTTCCTAGGTTGCTGCGGCATGCTCGTGTTGGTCGCTTACTCACCCGTCACTTCTGTGGCACCAGCGTCTAGGTCACCCTCCCTCACCCGTCTCCGTCACATGTCCTAGCACCGTCTTGTCCTAGGCCTCCCTGAGTCATTCCCTGCGCTCCTCTCCTCACCCGCGCCTCCGTGCACGCCCTGTGTCGAGGGCCGGCTCCGCCGTGCACCTCACTCCTCCTCGTTCCCCCCTACCTCCGCACCCCTACAGACCATGCACATGGACATCTGGGGCCCCGCCCCGTCCATGGGCCGCGTCGCGAGCGCTACTTCCTAGTGCTAGTCGACGACTACACCCGCTACACCACCTTCTTTCCCCTGGAGCGGAAGGTCGACGTGCCTGGCGTTCTTCTCCCGTGGCTTGTCTCTGCGTGTGTTCACCGATGTCTCCCTGTCTTGCGTCTTCACTCCGACCGTGATGGCGAGTTTGCCTCTGGCTGCCTTGGTCGCTTCTGTCGTGCAGAGGGCATCAACCAGACGTTCACCCTGCCGGACTCCCCGCAGCAGAATGGGGTCGCTGAATGATGCATAATTTTGGTCATGGAGGATGCTCGTACCTCCATGATCCATGCCGGTGCACCCCGTTTTCTGTGGTCGCTCGCCGTTCGCTACGCTGCTCACCAGCTCAACCTCTAGCCGCCCCCTCAGCGGTCGCGGGTTTCAACGACCCTCCTCTGGACCAGTTCCCCTGGTGACGCGTCTGCGTTCCACGTCAGTGGCTGCCTTGCTCACGTTCGTGCCTCTGGCACAGACAAGTTCACTGCCCACACTGTCCCTTGTGTCTTCCTAGGTTTCCCCCTCGACTCGTCGGACTGGCAGTTCTACCACCCGCCTTTTCACCGGTTCTTTCACTCTCGTGACGTCATTTTTGACGAGTCCGTCTCCTTCTACCACCGCTCTAACCACCGTGGTCCCCCGGTCACTTCCCCCCAATTCCTGGTGCCCCCCCCTTCCCCGGTCGCTCCTATTCACCCCCCTCCCCGCCCTGCCCCGTCTGGTGTGTCTCACGTCACCCCCATCCCATCGGTTGTCCCTGCTGAGGAGTCCGCTGACTCTCGCGCCTCGGCGGATTCTCTTCCCCCGCTTCTCCCTGCCCCTGTCTCGCCTCCCCTGTCGCCACCGCTGCTGTCCCCGCCGCAGCCGCCTCCGCCGCTGCTGCCACAGCTGCAGCTGCCGACGTCACCGCCGCTGGGGTTCGTGCGTTTTGGTGGTGCTGGGGAGCGGGCTCTAGGGGTGCTGGCATGGGGATTCTCGGAGGGAGCCATATTGTCGCTGGAGGTTCTGTTGTTGGAGTCGCAACTGTCGCCGCTGTCGCCGCCGGTGTCCCCTCTTCGCCTCCTCGGTCTCCCTTCCCCTGATCACCCGTCGCTGCCTCCCCCGCTGTTGCCGCCTCCTCCTCTGCTGGTCCACGGCCCCGTGTTTCCTCCCCCGGACTCCTCTCCGACTCGTTTCCCTCCCAGTTCTCCTCCTGTGTCTCCTCCCCTCTCTCCTAACCCGACTCCTCAGTCTCACATCTGGTCTCGTCGTCCGTCTCGTGCTCGTCCTACCTCCCCTGTTCCGCGTTCTCACCCTATGTTGCTTTGCTCTCACGCGTCTCGTGCTCCTCCTCTTCTCCCATCTCCTCCTCCGTCGTTGCTTGCTGTGGCCTCGCCTCCGTTCTCGGACTTCCTCCGTGCTGTGCGTCCCCTTGTTCCTCGTGTCCATGCCTCTCTCGTTACCGACCCGTCTGTTCCTGTCTCGAGTCTGTTGGCTTTTGTTGCTTTTGTCACTGACTTCGTCACTAACCGCCACCTGGACTACGCCACCGCTCTGGTCTCTGACCCTGCCCGCCTTCCGACCGTCGAGGGTGTGGCTGCTCTTGGTAGTGACGTCCTAGAGGACAGGCAATTCGAGCTCGCTTTTCGTGTCAGAGGCCGCTCCCCGTCTCTGTTCCATGCTGCTAGTCCCTGAGGGTGACCCAGACGTCCTCGACATCCCGACCCCTCGCACCTACATTGAGGCCACCTTAGGACCCTAGGCCTCTCAGTGGATAGCTGCCATGGAGCAGGAAATGGCATCTTGAAGATCCACCGGTACCGTCGTCGACGCAGTTCCCCCACCTGGGGTGAACATAGTCGATGGCCGGTGGCTCTCCAATGTGAAGCGCCCTCCTGGAGAGCCGCTTGTCTTCAAGGCGCGCTACATGGCTAGAGGCTTCAGTCAGTGTGAGGGGGTGGACTTCTTTCAAACCTTCGCCCCGACCCCGAAGATGCCTACTCTTCCGGCGCTGCTACACGTAGCAGCACAGCGTGACTACGAGCTGCACTCCCTCGACTTCTCCACAGCTTTCCTCCATGGCAGTCTACACGAGCAGGTCTACCTGCGCCGCCCCCAGGGGCTTCTCCGGTACCTTTCCCCCTGGCACCGAGTGGCTCCTCTGGCGCCCTGTCTATGGCTTGCGACAGGCGCCCCGTGAGTGGCACGACACACTGCGTGCTACAGTTGCTGACTTGCAGTTCTTCCCTTCTTCTGCAGACCCCTCGCTCTTTGTCCGTTCCGGCCAGACTCCGTTCTACATCCTTGTCTACGTAGACGATGTGGTCTTTGCTACTGTAGACAGAGACGCACTAGCCGCCGTGAAGGCCGAGCTGCTGAGGAGACACGCCTGCACTAACGTAGGAGAGCTGCGCCGCTACCTTTGCTTGCAGATCTCCAGGGACAGAGCAGCGCGCACCATCGCTCTCTCACAGTCACACTTGGTGCGCTAGGTCCTTCAGAGGTTCGGCCTTCAGTTCTCTTCCGCACAGCCCACCCCTCTGTCAGTAGACCACAGACTCTCTGCCCCAGTCCCTGAAGAGGCTGTAGAGCCTAGTGATCCCTACGCAGAGCTGGTGGGTTGCCTCATATACCTGATGACTTGCACTCGTCCAGATCTCGCATACCCTCTCAGCATCCTGGCTCGCTTTGTGGCCCCAGGCAGACACCAACGATAGCAATGGTCGGCAGCTAGAAGGGTTTTGCATTATCTAGCAAGTACATCGCGCATAGGGCTAGTGCTAGGAGGACGGAGTCCAGTGGTCCTTACCGCGCACTGAAACGCTTCTTGGGCAGACGACGCCGAGACTCTCTGGTCCTCATAGGGCTACTCCTTTAGCCTTGATGTAGGTGCCATCTCGTGGAGGTCCACCCGTTCCTTGTCTGTTGCACAATCTAGCTGTGAGGCTGAGATGTACGCAGGTGCCATGGCGGCATAGGAACTTCGTTGGCTGACCTTCTTGCTCACCGACTTGGGTGAGCGGCCTAACTCTGCCCCGGTTCTGTACGCTGACAATAGGGCCATGATTCTCCTGTGGCAGGAGCCACGACTTGAGGGCAGAGCGAAGCACATCCAGTTGCGGTACTTCCTCCTTCACGAGCTGCAGCAACGTCGCCAAGCTCGTGTAGTACACTTGGCCTCATGTGCCAACACAGCTGATATCTTTACTAAGGCGCTTGCGCCTAAAGATCATCAGCGATACTATGTACAGCTAGGTCTCGTTCCTGTAGCCTCTCACTTGCTAGGACCTTGATTGTGTACAGACATTTTTATATATTACCATGACTGGCCTTGTGGCTTCTTTCTAGTGACTGGACTTGTAGTGCCACCCTGAGTTGTTTCTCTCTCATCGGGCACTGCCCCTATCTAGTCTAGGGGGTGTGTCAAACATATATTGTATGTTTCTGTAGACTATATAGGGTTGTGCCTTAGGGAGTACAACCCATTATGTTATATTCCCTTGTATGCCTTGTTTTAGACATTCTTTCACTTGAACAAATATATCACGTAATTGCTAAATGTTTTGTAAGTTCCCTAAATATGGTAGTGTAGATGTTTGCGCAACTGGTGCTGTGTGTCGAAATCAAAACCCTTTACTTGAAAACTGCGTGTCACTCGGGATTCCGCCCAGCATTGAGATAGTGCGAAATTTCGTCCAGGTGTCGCCAATTGCAAACCATGATCGGTTTTCCTGTAACCCTTACGTTAGCGAAAGCAATCACCATTCAAAGCACTCCCGAGATCGCATCGCCATCTGGTGACATTTCGTTTTTGATAATTTTCTTTTCGAGAATTTCGTTTTCGTTTTTCGCGTGCCAAAGGAAAAGGACAGAAACCCGCGAAGCCGAACGGGCCCTCAATACAGCTGGCAGAACATCTCCAGCATTTCCTCAGCAGCCTAGTGACGACTACGCCGAATTCGCCGCGCCTTATGGATCTTGATGCGGTGGTGGGATTAGAGGAGCAGCTCTTAGCGCAGGGCCACGCCGAGGGATACCAGTAAGTACTTCTATCAAAGTGCTTCGTTTGAATTAATCCAATCTCCAACCTTCTTTGTACCTTAGAGGAGCCGCTACAAACGCCGCCCCGAGGCCGCCTTGCTGAGAGTACTACCGCCGCCGGTGAGAGCCGTCGCTTTGATCCTCGTCGCAACCCACGCTAGCGCCGTTCCCGCGCGACCTTATCTTCACCATCCTCAGGAGATCAGGGGCGAAGATGTGCAGGTTCTTCTTCATCCTCGTTGTTTGCTCTGCTCACCGTTCTGCATCACGCTCTCTCCGTCCTCTCCGCTTCCCCGCTGCTATCCTCACTCCTCGAAACGTCTCCCTTTGACCTAATTTCAGGGACGGGCTACGACTGGGAAGGCAGGAGGGTAGAGAAACGGGTCTGGAGCATGGGTTCATGATAGGTGGGTGGTTGCGTGGGGTCTTCATGATTGAATGGGTTTGCTATGGGGTGGCGTCTTGAGGGGGGATTGAAGCACGGTCGTACCATGCCATGCCATGCCATGCCATGGGTTCGTGATAGGTGGGTGGTAGCGTGGGTTCCTCGCTTCCCCGCTGCCATCCTCACTCCTCAGAACGTCTTCCTTTCAGGGACGGGCTACGACTGGGAAGGCAGGAGGGCAGAGAAGCAGGTCTGGAGCATGGGTTTGTGATAGGTGGGTGGTAACGTGGGGTCTTCTTCACGAGTGAATGGGGTGTTCTAGTGTGGATCGATGCATAGTTTTGTAAAGGTGAATGAAAGCTACATCTCACCATGAGCAGGGGGAGGCTTTTGAGTCGACTCAAAAGTGGTAGCGTGGGGTCTTCTTCACGACCTCAACCCACCTCATTTCCACCTCTTCTGACCTCATTTCCACCACTTCCGACCTCATTTCCACCTCTTCCGACCTCATTTCCACCTCCTCCGACCTCATTTCCACCACTTCCGACCGCATTTCCACCACTTCCGACCTCATTTCCACCTCTTCCGACCTCATTTCCACCACTTCCGACCTCATTTCCACCTCTTCCGACCTCATTTCCACCTCATTCCCCCTCATCCCAACATATCCCAACCTATCCCTCAACCCAACTCATCCCATCTCTTTCCATCTCATGCCATCTCTCGGTATATCATCCCGTTTCGTCTTGCCATGAGCAGGGGACGAGCTGGGCTTCATGTGGGGCTGTGCAGTGGCATGGCAGCAAGTCATCCAAGCAGCCACCTCCTCTCGATTCTCCCCTAGGCAAGCCATTGCTCTCAATCAACCTTTGGCCCCTTCCTTTCCTTCTTTCGTCTGCATGCATCCCCTTTGGTTTTCCATGCTCGACGGCATGGAAGCAAGTCATCAAAGCAGCCCCCTCCACTCGATTCTCCCCTAGGCAAGGCTGCATGCGGTCTCTGGGTCTCTCTCACCTGTGTCTCGTCTTTCTGTCGCAGTCTCGACAATTCTATAAAACTAAATCATTGTGATTCGACGCAAAACACACATAGGCAAGGCTGCCTGCTGGTCTTTGTATCCCATATTACTGTTGCAGTCTCACTACCACGAACCATTCCTCTTACTCCATCCTCCTTCTCTTTCTTCCTTTCGTCCCCTCCATACCTTTATTTCTCTCACCTTCTGTCCCCCCCTCCCTTCCCATTTTTCTTGCCATCCCTATGTCTCATTCCATCCTCTACGTAGTCCTCACATCCCTCCCTTCTTGTCCCGCAGAGCAATTAAAGCCTCGCAGCAGCAGCGCATTTCCGCCTCATCGCCTCATCGTCCCATTCATCGCCTCCCCTGCATGACTGCGGCCCTTGCTTCCCTTCATCGCTCCAGCCCCCCCCTCCCCTCGCATCCCTTCCATCCTCCACTTTCCCTCGAGAGCAACCAAAGCCGTGCAACAGCTGCAGCAACGCATGCCGTGGTGGATTGTGAGACTTCTCTGAAACTGTCTCCAGTCCTTCCGCTCCTCCCATCTGTTCTGTGCCCTCCAGGGCATCCAAAGCCGTGCTGCAGCTGCAGCAACTCATATCTGACTTTCCCATCGCTAACCCCGAGGTCAGTCACGTTTTCCTGATGTAACCCCACAGTTCCTCCTTCTGTGTTGTCTTGGTTCACACGACAGCAGAGTAACAGTGGTTGTCTACTTTCTCGTTCTCCTTCCCCTCCCTCCCTGCTCTCACGTCGCACCACTTCAGTAGCTCCCATTCCTCCTCTCCCCTCCTCCACCCTCTCCCCTCCTCCACCCTCACCCCCCCACCACACCTGCTCCTCTTTTTTATCCCCACCACACCACCCCCGATCATAGACCCATTCCCTCCTGACTATCCTGACTCGACTCATAAGCCGTCCCAACCCCACAGCATGCAAACCTTTTCACTGTGGCACTGAAAAGTTGGGGCACAGTGCTTCAAATTTTCAGGTCGGGGATGGATTTCACTGTCCCCCAATTGCAGAATGGCCGTTTTGACACTGTCGTGCCAGGGCTCGAATCCACCCCCCTTGCTTCTGCCCCAATTGCAGAATGGCCGTTTTGACACTGTCCAAGGGTATCGCACATGGGACCCAGATTCACTCCCGCCTGCTCCTCCCTCCCTCCTTCATTCTTACTCTGCCCCATTCCCCAGCCTCTCCCCCCTCTTCCACCCCCCCCCCCCCCCCTCCCCCCCCACCGCCCCCTCCCCCCTCCTTCCTCCTCACCCCGCCTGCCCCACCGGCTGAACTTATCAGCTTGTCCCTATCCTATCTGACATCAGAGTTCAATCTTCCTTCTCCTGATGGCTTCCTCCCTTTCTTCTCTGCCTCATCCCCGTTTCCCCCTCCCCCGCCCCATTACAATCATGCAGGATGAACGCTTTGACTCTCTCCTGTCGCACATCAGAGCCCGATTCCGCCTCACTTGCTCCCTCATGTCGCAGCCGCACCTCGCTTTACACTCCCACCCTGCTCAGCAATCCAGCAGCTTAGAGTTCTAGTGCTTCCTTGACACTCCTGTGGCATCAGAGCCTGCTTCCGCCTCACTTCCTCCCAGCCGCACCTTGCTAGCACATGAGTCGTGACACTCCTCCCATCGTACTCAGCAAGCCAGTAGCTTAAGAATTCCAATGCTGCTCTGGCAATCTCTTATCGCACGTCAGAGCCAGATTCCGCTTTGCCGGCTCCCTCATGTCCTAACCTCATGGCGCTGCTGCCTTGCAATTCCATCTTTCCCAGCAGAGCAGCATCTTAGAATTTTGATACCAGTTTGATCTCTTCCATAGCACACATCTAAACGATAATGAAACATGTGAAATCTGATTGGTAGCGGAACCTTTCCGCAACTATTTCTGCTGTCACTCTCTTGTTGGCGAGACCCACCAAGTTCGCGAACTCCCAAGATCTATGCTCGCTTCCCGTCTCTTGGGAAGCTCGCAGATTCCAACCAAGGTTCTCCACGTCTGAATGCTTTGTATCGCACTCGAACGCTTTGCATCCCGTGATTTGTTTCAGGTGATTGCTTGAGGGCAAGTTAGCAGCCGACGCATCATGCTACCTTCACTCATCCATGCTAGGCTCGTCCTCAACGGGAGTGTCCACATACGCATCATAAGGGATGTCGTTATCACCATCGAGGGGCTCATAGCCATCCTTCGGCTCCTCCCGAATCACTGGAAGTGCCGAAATCATCATTTTCTTGGAGAAGTCGTCACTCAGCTTCTTCACCGTATGGTAGTTGTGGCTTATGTAAACCAAATCCGCAAGACGCTTGGGGCCGAGTCGGTTGCGGCGTGCGGTGTGGATAGACTCCCACACACCCCGGTTCGTCTCGCATGTCGATGCCGACACGCAGTGCTTGAGTACCTTGCACGCCAGCTTCGCCAGGTTGGGGCAATCGGAGCCATTCATAATCCACCACTGCACGGGGTCCAAGTGACCCTCCTTGATAAGGATGTGTTCGTCCTTAACCTTCTGCTCTCCGATTTCCCCCTTCCCTTTGATGTACGTCAACACCTCGCCCTCGACGATCGTGGCCATTGGTTTAATGGCATTCCCGACCTTCATAGTCTCTCCCTTGTAGTAGTCGCGCACAAACCGCTTAAAGATTGCGGTGCACTCCTTGTCGTCCGGTCCGGTCCAACAAAATTCTCGTATTGGTTGGGTGGATAGAGAATGCGCCCCACCACATGAAGCGGGCAATTGATGTCATTATTCCACCTATTCCGCACGATCTCCGAAACCTCCTCCTTCTCGGCGCTCTCCAAATCCGCGCACGCCCTATCCACCTGCTCCTCCAAATCGATCATCATTTCGTACATTTTGGTCATGACCTCTTGATTCCCGTCGACTTTCCTCAACGTCATGTAGACCGGCTTGAGAACGGCAAATACCAGCTCAACGCCCTTCCAGAATCCTTTCCGCTGCACCGTGTCGCGTGCGTCCTTCATTTTGGGCCTCCCCTTCGTGTAATCGTCGAACCCCTTGGTCTTCATCATCGCCTCCTGCGTGTCACGCACCGAAACCAGACGCTCAAGGGCGATGCAGTTAGTCCCAAACCGCGTGCCTGCAGGCTTCAGCACCTTCAGCGAATCCTTCTCCCGAAAGTAGCCCGTGATCCACTGCCCGTTCTTCAGTGTCGAAGGTGCCGCGCCTCGTCAATGGTCGATTTGGCCCAGTCGAGCCCGCCGATGTCCTTCATAAGGAGGCTAAGCGAGTGTGCGGCACAACGAATCCATTGCACCTTCGGATATTCCTCTTTGACCAGGCTGGTGGCGTTGATGTTCGCGCTCGCACCATCCATCAGCACTCCGACGACATTCTCCGCGCCGACCTCCTCAATCGCAGTTTTCAAGTGCCCGGCGATGTAATCAGCTCCTTCCTTCTCCGTGCCGCAATCAACACCGAACAAGAAGACCGATGCATTGGAGTTGACAGCCAAAATGTTGAGCTGAGGACGAGATGGCGCATTCTCCATCTTCGTCTTGCACTCCTCAAGAAGGCGGCCCATGATGAGCCGACGCCCGGGGGGGGGGTGAAACCGGTGCCAGCAGCCACCACCTTCTTCAACATGGTTTTGAAGACCTCGTGTTCCGCTGCGTGTGGCGGGATGCGACAAACGTGGAAGAACGTTGCAATCGCCAGTTGTGCGTTCGCAGCGTCCACCGGCTTGGGACGCCCATCCGTGAGTGTCAGCTGCGTCGCTTGCCGCTTTCGCGCGCCACCATTGCTCTCCGGCATGTTGCTGCTCGTGTCGCTGGTTGGAGTATGCGTGAACGCATTCATTGTCCTTTGAGTCGCTTTCTTCTTCTCCTCGTCGTCACTCTTCTTCTTTGCCAAGGCAGCCCTAACAGCCTCCTTCGCCTCGAAAGTAGTTGAGGGGCACGCTTTCACGCCGCTACCCGGGGTTCCAAGAATATGGTTCTGCGCTCGGACCACGCTGAATTTCCAAGTGCCGTTGCAAAAAGTGCATTGCTTCTCCAAAGTAGAGTCAGATTTTCCCCCTTCGGGAACGCTGATGAATTTCCAAACAAAATGGTCAACGGAGTTCGCCATTGCAACAGAAGTACAATGCAGTTTGTACTTGGAAAATTGAGTACGAGTAGTTGCTGTTTGGAGCTGTGTGGATTTGTGGAAATAAGGCGTAGTTAAGTACCTCTTTGAATTCGTCGTGCCGCGAACCAGTTTTGCGGAAATCACGTCGTAGGAAATTGTTAGGAACGCGTAAACGTGTTTCTGATTGTTTGGGATTGGTTGGCTTGCTGGCTGCACTTTCGTCGCAAGCCACAATCGCCAACTTCTGCCGGTGCGTCGAAAGTCACATTTAAGTGCGACGAAATTTACAATCTGTTGACTGGTTGGCGAAATTACCGCGTGCGCGAAATCTCGTCTCCGCTGCTTGACGCGCCGGCAATCCAACCAGTCAACGTCAACCCCTACCTAACCCAACCCAACCCTCCTCGACATTCAATTCCCCTTCCCTCCTCGACGAATGTCAGTCGCTACCCTATCTCCAGTAGCAACTTAGTTAAGTCTAAGTCGCATCCTAGGACTATTAGCGCGCCTTCGACCAGCGCGACGAATCTACGTGCGCCATAGTTCATGACGGGGTAGATCTGCGCGAACCGTGGGCAGCGATAATCTAGGCGTAGTTGCAGATCACGTAGTTATAGAACGCGGTTTTCGAAGGGAATTTTTTTGCCCGGAAAATAATTTCAGGGCCTGCCCGGCGATGTAATCATAACGTACGCGTAACGTAACGTAAACGTAACGTTACGCGTACTGTACATTTACGTCACCTAAAGTGACGTAAAGTACCAACTTAGACTCGCCCAGAGCGGAAGCCGCCCACCGAGCGTCCTTCCCCCCCAACTTCCCCTCCCCCTTGTGGAATGACTGCAGCTGCGCTTGCAGCATGGTGCGCCGTCCGGGGTCAGACTCACGTGCCTCGAGCAAGGCGTCAACCCCTTTGCTGAGCTCGGTGTCGCCCCACACCTCGTCCGCAAATTGGTTGAGGGGGCTCAGCAGCCACCCCATAGCATGGAGGGGGTTGTGCAGCTGAGCGTCCCACCTCTTTGCGATAATCTTATTCACGCAGGCCAAGAAGGCGGCTCTGTCCTTTGCTTCCATCAGCTCGGTCTTCTTGATGAAGAAAGTAGCTGTGGAAATGGGGATTGGGTGGAGAGAGAGCGGGGGTTCAGGAAGGGGATCCAACATGCAATGGGCAGAGAAGAAAGCTGGGAGGGGGACAAAGACGGATGACTTACCCGCAGCACTAGCCGCCTCGTTGGTCTTGACCATGGCCTCAACCATGAGGCCATAGATCTTGGCCATCAGCAGTGCTCGCGTGTCCACTGTCCGAAGGATGTCATACACTCGATGCATGAGCCGGAGTACAACGTTCACGGACTCCCAGAACTTCTCCTCCAGCAGCATCGCCCGAATCTCCTGACCCTCCTTTGTCCCACTGACGGCTACCCCCTTCCACTCCTCACTAATGACCAGCCGCAGCAAAGACTCCTTCACAGCAAGGAACCGGGTGATCATTATCACATGGGTTCCAAAACGAGTGGCTCCAAGTTTGACAAGTTCGAGCTGGCTGAAAACCTCCCTAAAGAGAATGACGGCGCTCGCACTGTTCTTAACCATCATCACTACCCGCTGTGCCTCCGCTAGCACTTTCTGCATGACGGGGATGCCCCCAATGTCCCTCAGCATCAGGTCTAGGCAGTGAGCAGCGCTGTTGGTGAAAAAAATGGCCGGAAAGCCCTCCTTCAAAAGGCTGGACACTTTCTTATTGTTGCTGGCATTGTCCATCACGCACTGGACAACGGCTTTGACGCCGACTTTGCAGATGGCCTTGCAGATCAAGACCGCCAAGTAAGACCCTGTCTTCTTGGCAGTCTTAGAGTTCACTACATCGACGAGCACCGGGCCGCTCTCGTTTTGCGCAATGACGCATACGATGGCGCGGCTCTTCAAGCAAGACCAGCCGTCGACTGATAAGGTGTAGCCGACGGACTTCCAAGTCTCCTTGAGGGGCGACACCAACTCGAAGGTGTCGGCCTTCAACTTCAAAAGCAGGGGCCCCGACACCATGTATGCTGAGGGTAGCTTGTACGGCTTCCCGTATGCCACTGCTGCGTTCACGAACGCTTGCGTCGCTTTGGACCTGGTGGGTGGGATAAGGCGGGGACTTAGAGCGAAGGGAGTGCTGTGCGTGCCACGCGAGGAACGGGTGCGAAAGACATGCTGCGGGAGCATCAATGGCGATAGAGAGACGACTACTCACTGGGAACAGCGGAAGGCCCAGTCATTCTCGGCCACCGCGACGGCCCACAAATGGTCAAGACGCTCCTTGCCAGCCTGATCCGACATTGCACGGATATCGAGCTGGACTTGTGCCTTGGACGTCGTCGCCTCGCTCGTCGACGTGGAGGCCGAGCCACGCGAAGATCCGGCGGTGTTTCCTTCTCACGCAGCGCCCGCGCAGCACTCGGAGGTGCACGTGGCGATATTCTTTGACTTCGTGGCCGGCTTACCGAAAAGGTGCTCCTGAATTCGTGTGGCGCTTGACGTCATGGTTTGCGTGCAGTAGTTACACTAGACCCTAACGAGTTTACCGTCGTCATCAAACGTGCGGGTGACGTGTTCCCACAAGCGAGAAGGAGTCCGCGGCATGGCGGAACTGTGGTCTTGGGCGCTGCTGCTAGCACTGACTGAGCTAGCTAAGATTCCTAGTCTCTGGACTTTGAGATGCACTCACCTGTTCTGTCGTGCTCCACATTTGTATGTGCTCAAATCGGCAAAATCGTGAAGGCGTTTGATGAAGTCGTTGGA